GTCCAGCAGGAGAAAAGGACGGGAACAAACCGCGAAAACCCACGACATGAGCACTGCGAAACGAATTTTTCCCCCCATACAAAACGCGGACCATACACGAAAGGTGAAACGTTTTCAGCACCTTTCAACAAGCTTTCAACACAGTTCTACAAGTTTTCAACAAGTTTCAACACGTTTCAACAAGCTCTCAACAACTCTTCAACAACTTTTCAACAAGTTTTCAACAATTGTTCAACAGTTTGACCAACATCATTTCAACAGTTGGACCAACAGATGAACACACCAGTTTCAGTTTTTCCAATATTTCGTCAGCGTTGGTTTCCTTGACTTTTGGTAGAACACATGCTTCCCCCCCCGCCAAACGGTTTATAAACACAGTTCCAACGGTTAAAATATGGTGTCCACATATGTTCATCAAGGCCAAAAATTTGCCACATTTTTTCTGTTGTCGAACCAATAGCAAAATTGCATCACGAGTTTCACCAAATAAGAAGACACCAAGAGTTCATAATTGACAATGATGGTAAAGTCTCATCATCATCATCATCAATGAAGAAGCAATGTTGATATCCTATCTAACGCTCGGCGCCCAGACTACAGATGGCAGATCCTATCTAGCCTAGACTACAATGTCGAATGATGACGACAACAGCTATCCCGAAGTACGAGCATACAGCGACCAATGTCGCATGCTTCCAGCACCAGGTATGTCTCTCGCCTCACTCACAACCTCGTTCCTCAACACACTAATGCCACTTGCACCCAAGGACCACCCTGCGCCACACCCAGCTTACAGCAGCGCAGCTCGGCTATGGCTGCCTGCTCCTTCCTGCTCGCCCGTGAGCGCGTGAGTGTCAGCGAGCTTCAGCGCAGCAGCGCTTGCGCAGCATGCAGCCAGCACCCGAATGATGCCAAATGCGGAGGCAGGCCCTTGGCTATATGGAAGTGGCTTGCATGCTTGTTGTTTCAAACTGCTCTGGGCCTTTTCCAATAAGCTCCCGGTAGGCCCTGGTAGGCTGAGGCCCAATCCATGCAACTCAAGCCTTGGGCCTGTAGTGGTTGCTTGCGCCCAACTGTCAACGGCATGTGTGATGCCCACATCCCGTACCCAGCCATGGGCCTCTCTTCGGTACATTCACACAGGCTACCCAGGACGTGGGTTCTTCCAACCAACTGGCTTTGCGCAACTGCCTGAATTTCCTTGAGTTGCGTGGTGACCGATATAGAGGCCCTCAAGCCCTCGTCGTGCCTGCCTTCACTTAGGGCGGCCGACGTGATACTTGACAGGGCCTGAATGAGGCTAATAAGGACGTAAGCCTCGCACAGATCTCAGTACACGCATAACAGAAGCAGAAAGTCGAGTTTGAAGAAATCTCCGATATGTTTCTAACGAAATTTAGGAAGTTGCAACGAAACTCAAATTTAGACAAAGTCAAAAAAAAAAAAAAAAAAAAAAAAAAAGGAAAATCAGAAGGAGGAGTTTCAAAAGTACGATGAAAAAAGAGAAAGGAGTTAT